AAGCTCCGGGGGTGGTTGCCCAGCGCGCGCGGATCTCGGCGCCGTCACGCCCGGCGATGACGAGGTCCTGGGCGAGGACGCGCAGCGCGGGGCTCTCCCAGCAGCGAATTGCTTGGTGTATTGTTCCCTTCTACGTTCTGGTTTTTAACTCCACCTTTTAGTTGTACATTTTACAAGTGTCTTCCCAGGTGGGGCGGGAAGACGGGATTCTCTCTTCTGGTGACCAGTTAAGTGGGACAAAAGACTTGTTCCTCTCCATTTTACCCCATCTATAACACTTGTCCTTCTTGCGGTACAGTTTTAGATTTTAACCTTTCCCTCCGCCGTTTCATTATTTTTCATTTAGTTCTCCCTTCCATGTGTTCCTTTCCTCTGTATTTACCCCTCTTCAACTAAGTGTGTATACGCGCGTGCGCCCATTCAGTGTAATTTTCATTTCCTTCAGGAATACAAATTTTCTTACCTGTTTCTCACTCCTTCAAAAGTGCCGATTTTAATCACCGTTTTTCAGTCAAGAGGGACAACGTCAGATAAATGTCTCCACCAGACAAACCAGCCATTCTTCTCTCTTATGTCCTCATTTATGGAGAGAATGGATAAACCTTGCTCCCGTCCAATTACCTTCTTCAGTGCATCTAAAATGACTTTTCTTAAACTGAACTCTTCCTCTCTTAAAGTTTGCAAAAGTTCCTAGTGACATCCAGCTTCCTCTTACCACAGGAATGAAATATATTTTTCCTTTCCTTTCAGTCATATGATCTTCACTGATATCCTATTTGATTAACGTGACTTTGGAAAACATTGAACTTTTTGGCTAATTTTTACGCTTTTATTGTTTATAATGTTTTATAGTTTATAGTTAGCTCTGAGAGACCTAACTCTGAGGGAGCATTTGTTAATGTTAGAATCCATTTTGCAGTATTCATGATGTGTTTATTTAGAACTCATCTGTTCATAGCTTTACATATACATTACATACTTACAGCATAAAGTACTTCGTGACATACTTAAAAGCTTCAATGTTCCATTGCTTCACTTGATAAGAAGTTACAGCATTTTGACTATCCTACATCAAAAGGAACCCAAGCCATTCAGCCCAACTCCCAGATTTTACAAAGCAAAAAGCTAAAATCCAAGACAAAGTGCATGCCTTGGAGTCTAGGTCAAAAGCCAAGCTATGTGTGATCCAGTAGTGGAACACCAGGTCCAGAACCCTAGAGCGAATTTATAATCAATGGACTCTTCAGCAATGCTAGTCAAAATATCCTTTGTTGTCAGTTTTAACTCACCTTCATCACCTGCATGTTCTTTCTCATACATAAAACATTAACCTTTCATTGTCCTCTTCAAAATTGTCCTTGTTAATACTAATTACAGTTCTAAGAGAAAAGATTAAGGATCTTTACTCTTACCAAGTATCTATATTTATCATACTATTTGGTCTTTTGAGGTGACAACAAATAAAAAACAAACATAATACCATAAAACTAAAAAAACAAGATAAAACTTCTCCCTAGTGATCTGTTATGGAATTATCTTCCATGAATTTAAATTTTTTATTGAACTTCTATTTTCTTAATTGGTTTCCTGTCATATGGTTCATTTATATTTATTCATCCAGAGACTATTTCTAGATTTCATGTTCTCTTGTCTGGTATCTTGGAATTTGGGGAGGAAATCTATGCTTAAACTGAAAAGACCCCTCAAGCTGACAATACTGCAAGTCAGTTTACTACATGTTTCTTATGCCCATGTCAAATATTGCTTATTTTGATAAAGATTTTTTAAACTAAAAAAGTACTTAATCATAAGAGATGACATCCATGAAGTATAAACACCTGATGATTATTTTCCTTTTACATAACAGATCAACAGTATATAGTTCTGAACCTAAACTCCTTTAAGTGTAAGTTACTGAAGCCAAACTCCTTACCTTTGGTGTTCATTTATAATGGTGCCAAATGTTAAAACCAGTATCCACGTACAGGTGTAGAATTGTACAAAAATATGTGAATGTTGGGAAACGGAAATAAAATAGAGATGAATGTCTTTAAAAACCTTTGCTTCATAGTCATATTTTAATTATATATTGCTTACAAATTGAGATTTATTTTAAAAACTATTCTTTTTGCAGCGAGCTCATTATCTCACCTATCTCCTATGATTTCAGAAGAGATTAGAAAGAAATGAATATATTTAAAGAATCACACTCTTGTGAATAATGACATCATCAAAAAGGTTTTGTTTTCACGAATATGCCATTACTAGGAAGAGAGGCTGGGGGAGTTTTCTTCACCGTGGACAGGAAGGGCCTGCCTTCCCAGCAAGGAGAGCCTGCAGTCACAAGCTCCAGCCTCCATCAATGATGACAGGATTGCCTGTTACGTAGGCAGACTGCAGTGACAAACACAAGGAGACAGGACAATTAACTAGGTTGTATTTCTTCAATTTTTCTGACTAAGACAGCGAAACGGTTTATTCTCATAGTACCAGGAAACTTCACTTAACAAATAAAAATTAGGAAACTGAATTAAATTTCAGCTGATTTAAAACTGCTGAGTGTTCTTGAATCTGATGCTAACTGGCCTGTGGCTGCTGTTCGAGCACATGTCACTTTCTAAGGATGTTTGGTCTCCAAATCAAAATTGAGAAATTTCATGATATACATCCATTCCCAAAATTAGGATAAAGTATAGGCTAAAATAGTTCATTTTCATTTTGAAACTCAGACTTATTCTAAAGTAGCTCTTATGCCCCTAATAACTGTTTGAACATAATCCAGTATGTGAGTCATAAAATGGTCATGTCAATGCCAAACATAATTTAAAAAAAGATGTACATTTAGTTAATCAGTATACATGGGTAATTCCAGGAACTGAAGCACTGAATGTGTTTTTTAAATGTATATTAATAATAAATTATAAGCTATTAACCAAAAAAACCCCCTATACTAGTTTCAGACATCCAAATCTGTACAAGACCAAAAGAGTTAAAAAATTACTGCTTTTTTCCCAAAGAAATTTTCATTTTCTAAAAAATTAAAGCTGAAGTGATTCTTGTGGCAGAGGTTTAAAAATGTTTTAACTTCAACATAGATAATGAAGATTCAAATTTGTGTTCTTAGTTTTAAATTCACTTAAAGTCTGAGACAATGGAAGAGGCAGAAGGAAGGACAATAGGAGTACAGAATGTTTTAAAGTTCAGTTTATAGGAACTGATCAGATAGAGCAGATAAACCAAACAAGGGTGTTATTAGTCACTTTACCAAGAAACAATCCCAATTTCTCAAGGTTCTTCTAAAAGGCAAGCATTCTGTTTCCCATATGGACTCTTCTAGATCTTTCTACCAGGACAAAGTTCTTTTTGTTGCATATTTCAAGCCAGAACGCTCCCAAATGTTTGGTAAACAAAGCTCTGGCTAAACAAGGGCAATGAAGCTTACCGGCAGTACCCACAAATCAAATGAGCTCTTCTGAAGACATGGATTCAGAGAAATCACAAAGGTTAATGTACTCGCTCCATCATCCTTTGTCTAGCAATTTCCTCAGCTATGAACAGCTGTTGTTAATAGTTCTGAGAAGTAGTAACTGCTCTGTCACGAGAACATTGCAACCTCTGTATTTAACACATTCACCAACTGCCTGGTGTGCACCACGTTACTTAAAGAGGGGCTAACTGATCTGTAACACCCCTCACTCCCACCTCCTCCTCTTCCTTTTCTCTCTCACAGTTCCCTGGTCATATAATATTCAAAGACATGAAACAGAGGGGCTGCTCTTGGGCTCTCTACCTTATAAATGTAGTTCCTGCTTCACAGCTATATGCCTTTTAAAAACATACAGTAGTTATTAAGGAAGCAACTAGTTACCAAATAGATGCAAAGTGGAAAGAGACAGAATTAGGAATGTATGTTCATGATGATATACGAGTAAGAATTCACAGAACAAAAAGAGGTAGTGGGATTCTTCCAAACAAGTCGCCAGTAAAACTGAAAACACCTGATGCTAATCCTGTGTCTCCTGGACACAATTAAATGTGGTTAACCGTTTCCCCATCTCATCTGATGCTCTCATAATTTTGGAGGTTTATTTGTTTGATTTACATTAAATCATGGCTTCCCAATTTGTAATTTTTAAAAACAATTATAAAATTGAGCAATTTGATTTTCTTTAATCCTCCACCACTTCATTTGCTCTAAGAATTAGTGACATGTAAAGTTGAATGAGGAAGGGTTGGTGGCTCAGATCCAAGTGGCCTTTCTTTGAGAGCATTAAACGTACCCCTATCTTGTAAAAGCAGCAGCCTAGCATCTATATGCCATTACTCCCTAAAATCACATGATTTTTTGATGAGCAAATTGTGGCCTAATGTGATTAAGGATAATGGACTCCCTGGGAAGAACAGAGCTTACTTCATCAGAGGCCAAGTACACGCAGAGCAGGGCTATTTCTTCTGCGGTTGCAAATCTTCCTGTTTTCTGTCTCTTCAGGAAATCGCTCAGTGCCTATACCCAGAAACCAACCGGACATCAGTGATGTGAGCTGAAGTATGAACTCACCGGCAACTCCTTCAGGAGGTCAAAGGCAAGAGGAATCTACAAAGGGAGCATTGGCTTGCAGCCTTGATTAATCATGTATGATACAAGATACAGGAGAGTATCATTAATAACATTATCTGTGGACCAAGCAGGACTATGACGACTCCCCAGCTATTCAAACTATTTGTGTTATACTGAAACCTGCAGATACTGTGACAGATCAGAAATTTAATATTACAGAGAGGATGTTTTGTATTTTGAAATTGTGCTAAAATACACATAATATAACATTTATCAACTTAACCATTTTAAGTGTACAGTCCAGTAGTGTTAAGTACATTCACATTATTGTGCAACAGATCTTCAGAATATTTTTCATCTTGCAAAACTGAAACTCTAGACCCATAAAACAACAACTCCCCACCCCCTCTCCCCCAGCCCCTGGCAACCACCTTTCTACTTTCTGTCTCTATGAATTTGTCTACTCTAAGTAAGGAAGGGGCAATTTTTAAAAACAGGATTTAAACACATTTAAAACAGGAGATGTACCTCTTCAGGATTTGGTCTGGCTTGTATTCTTTCTTGCAGAGATGGGGTATCAACTGTTCCTAAATCAAAGGGGGGTATTCAGCTTGGTTACTTACTTAGACTGAAAAAGAAACTGACAATTAAACTTTAAACTTCCTTTCCATATGATACAACAGATCAGCGAAATCTTTCTCCATGACTTGGAATGACAATTTCACCTGTACCTGCCCGCCCTTTTATTTAACAGGCTTACAACTTTAGTAACATCCCTATAATTTTTTTTAAAAAAGACTGTAATTCTTTGTGACACTGGGCAGGGTCTCTGGGTGAAGCATTCCCATGGACATATTTCAGTCACATTACATTGACATGATCCTTTATAGAATTTAAACACTTGAATAGGTATTATCTCAATTCATCCTCCAAATAACCCTGAGATGTAGGTAAAATCATACAAGTACTTGACCAGTATAAGGACCCAGACTGTCTTCATGATCTCAAAATCATCCTTTGTTGTCAGGTTCACTTTGGGGATCCTCAGGGACAACTCCACGTGTGTCATACTCCTTGATAATTTAGGTGGCTCTAAATTTTTCTCATTATGTTGCCTATTTTCATTGGTGTCAAATTCCTATTTTAACCATTGTTTCATGTTTCTCATCAAAAAATATAATTTTAAATTATTTTACTTTAAAAGAAGAAAAATGACACTTAAATTTTTAAAATCCCACTTAGATCATGTTCTCAGACATTTTTGTAAACTTATGTGACCTGTACATTCTCCAGAGGGCCTTTATGTTGGCTGACAGTCCTCCGGGAGACCACAAATCACCTCCATCTGATACTGAATATAGTTCCCTGTGCTAATAACAACCTTGTTTATCTATTCTATATATAGTAGTTTGTACCTACTAATCGTAAGCTCACAATTTATCTCTCCCCTCCTTCTTTCCTCCCTGGTAACCATAAATTTGTTTTCTATGTCTGTGAGTCTTTTTATGTTTTGTAAGTTCATTTGTGTCATTTTTTTAGATTTCACATATAAGTGATATCATGATATTTGTCTTTTTCTCTGTCTGACTTACTTCACTTAGTATGATAATCTCTAGGTCTATCCATGTTGCTGCAAATGGCATTATATCATTATTTTTTATGGCTGAGTATTATTCCAATCATCTGTCAATGGACATTTAGGTTGCTTCCATGTCTTGGCTATTGTAAATAGTGCTGAGATGATCATGGGGTGCATGTATCTCTTCCAATGAGAAAACTCTTATTTTTATACATAATATTCTTCTATGACTCCCAATCAATGCCACTGTCACTTGACTCTGCCACGTCCAGGGCACAGACTGACACACCGTGCCACTGTCCACACAAGTCTGGTGTTGCAGTTGTGATCGTATCATCAGCACCATCCCAGATACACTCATTCCTTGTCAGGTTTTCTTCTGTGACTGATTCAGTGAGTCACAGCTAGTTCCTTGTTCCAGACAGTGTGATAGTATATTTTCCAATCTTCTGAAAAGTCTGGCTTTAAAAACAACCACATTTTCCAAATCATTTTGCCACTCATTTCTGGGCAGATGGCACCAAGAACAGCGAGACTGCAGTATCACTGGTGTGTACGGTACAGTCCAGTGAGACTGTCTCTCCTGTATCCTCCTCTGCCTTAGTGTTACTTGTATTTACCTCAATTGTGGAAATTCTGTAGCTTGAAAGTTATTTCAGAGTTTCCCCTTTTAACTAATAAGCCAGGGGTCTTCAACCTGAAGGGAGACCATGATGGGCTGCATCAGCATCTCCTGTGGCACTTTCCAAACCACACACAGGTTTCCCCATCAGCTCCCTCCCTGAATTCTGGCACGCCCCTCAGGTTTTGAAAGGTCCCACAGGCACCTGTGAACCGCTTCTCTGCCCTGACCCGCCAACACCAGCTGTGAACTACTCAGAGAAACCTTGATTCTGGCCATGCAATATTAAATTCCTTTTCAGGGAGGAAGCTGCTAATTTTCTCAGGCACCTTGTACAGGCAGACCTCATTTTACTGTACTTTGCTTTACTGCACTTCGCAAATACTACATTTTTTACACATTGAAGGTTTGTGAAACCCTGCTTTGAGCAAGTCTATTGGTGCCAGTCTTCCAACAGCATTTGCTCACTTCGTGTCTCTGTGTCACATTTTGGTAATTCTTGCACTATTTCAAACTTTTTCACTATTATTACATTTGTTAAGGTGATCTGTGATTGGTGATCTTTGATGGGACTATTGCAAAAAGATTATGGCTTGCTGAAGGCTCAGATGATGGTTAGCATTTTTCAGCAATAAAGTATTTTTAAATTAAGGTATGTACTTTTTTCCCAACATAATGCTATTGCATGCTTAATAGACTACAGTACAGTGTAAACATAATTTTTATATACACTGGGAAACCAACAAATTCGTGTGAATATCTCTTTATTATGATTTGTTTTTTTGCGGTGATCTGGACCCCAACATGAAACCTCTGCAAGGTATGACTGTGTTTACCCATTTTGGGTCAGTGGAGCTGGGTGAAAGGGCATATCTATTTAATAGACACCCCCACAAGTATTAAGAAAATGGGAAGTTACTCCTAAGAAGTAAGTTATTGAATGCTTTTGTTTGGACAAATTGAATATCTTTTCTACTAATAACAAGTTGTGCTTTCCTCCTTTCCTTTCTATGAGGGGCCAGCATACTTTCTGGTCAAAAGCCAGGTAGGAAATAGTTTTAGCTCTGAGAACCATTTGGTCTGTTATAACTACTCAACTCTGACTGCAGCATGAAAGCCGACTTAGCCAACAGGTAAGCAAACTGGGTGCTCCAATAAAACTGTGTTCACAAAACAGGTGGCGGGTCAGCTCCAGCCTGAAGGCCACAGTTTATTGACTCCCTTTTTATAGCATAAAGGAAGGTGTTACTCCCTCCTTTTCATTTATGGGCCACCCCAGGAGGTTTACATCACTCAGTAGCTCCCTGTGTTCTGGAAGGCTCCTCTTCCTGCTGTCCTGTGAGCCTGGTCTACTATTCGTCTTTCCCCTGATAAGCTCATCCTGGGTCTGCTTCTAAACTCCGAGCCCTGGCCAGTTATGCCGCTTAACCACAGGGTTTGGAACCGCCCCCTAACACACCAAGTAGCATTTAAACTTTTTGCTTCTGTTAAACCAGAATGGCGTCATTTGTGCTAAAGCCCATGATACCAAACCTAGATTTAGCGCCTAACTTAATTGCAGCTTTGCCTTTCACCACAACTGTTACCTTAACCAACCGGTCTGGAATTTTCTGGTCGGCACCAATGAGGTAATGTAGGTATGGGCCCTGTCTATCCCCCTAGAGGAAGAAGAGGCAATCTGTAGATAAAACCCGGTCAGTCCCCTCCCTCACTAAAAAAGAGGTCCTAGCCCAGAATAACCTTTTATTTTATTTTGCCACTGACTTCCTCACCCCAATCTCCTTTCCATAAAAACCTTCCATTTGTATTCAACTCCTTGGAGCATCCTTCCAGTTGCTAGATGGGATGCCGCCTGACTCATGAATTGAATAAAGACAATTAGATCTTCTAATTTACTCAGCTGAATTTTGTTTTTTAACACATTTGTGGGTTATTCCTAATGACTCAGGATCTCTTTCCCAACTTACCATTGGACTGCTATCTTAATAAGCCTAGACTCTGTTTCCTTTGGACTTGGCCTAATGGCAATGCAATAAAACATGTGGTAAACAAGCTTATGTGGCTACCTTTCATGGTGGCAGCCGGGACATCTGAAGGGCCAAGTTCACAGTCCAACAGTGCCAGACTCACCTGGACACACACAGTTACAGCGGATACCCTGCTGGATGAAGTCTGCGGCCACGGACTTCGTGAGGCCAATCACAGCTGCCTTGGTTGTGCTGTACACACACCTGTTCACAACTCCTGAGAACGAAGGGAAGGGTCAAGTGGATGGAATAAAAACCAGTCTCCTTTAGGAAGGGAACACAAGTAAATCACCACTGCCCTGCTTTCCTCACTCCCTTTTTAAAAACTGATATCAGGTTTTCTCCCTTAGTACAGCTAGTTTCTGAATCTGGGAAAATAATATCTCTATCGGCACAACTCGGTCAAGACTTTGCTGCTGAGATGCTGCACTTAAGTGACAGCGGCGGCCTTAGTTTTTCATCATCAGTTGACAGAACCCTTAGGAGGATTCCAAAAGAAAATTCAGGTGAAGAAAAGCAAAACAAAACACAACCTAAGCAAACCTAGAAGCGTGGGCACGTCTTTGCTTTCCTCTCCTGTGGGGGCTTACTCTGCATATCCTTCCAAAGAGAAGGAATGTTAACTCAGTGGTCCTCAGTTCATTTTAAACTCGACAGTCCCTCTGTGCCTGACTGTGACGCCACCCACCATCTCCACTCTGCGTGGCACTCTGGCCCTTTAACTTGACTGCTTATTTAGGGCCCCGATCAAATGTCTTCATGAAGCACCCCGCAATCTACAGGCAGGGTTACTCCCCCACGTTGACACAACACTTTGCACAAGCTCTGTATAATCCCGTCACACTGCAGAAGACGTGCGTTTGCCTGACTCTCCCCCCCCGCTTTGGAACTGTGAATTCTTCTGGGTCCAGGACACATTGTGGGTGTTCAACACATCTTTTTTGATTAAATAAGTGGATAAATGTTTCCTTCTCCCAGTTTGATCATTTCCATAACCATTAGAAGGAATAAAAGGGAGGGCAAAGCAAACCAGCTTTTATTTTATGACTGGTTCACATGGAAGGTGATAGGTCTCATAGTTAAGGAACTTAAGATCAATTTTTTAAAAAGCAGTTTTGAAGTTATGTGTGGGTTTTATGATCTCCGCTCTGCTTGTTCCTCAAACCCTTAGCTTCTGCAGATGTGTGAGTATGTGCATCACGGTTCCCAGAGGAAGACAGACCTACCTTTGATGCTGGAAGCCACAGAGGACATGTTGATAATGTTGCCAGATTTCTGGGCTAGCATCTGCCAAAACAAAACAAAGACAAGAAGAAGATGCTACTCCGCGGCTAAAAATACTACTTCTTTGAAAGATTTGCATTTACTTAGGGTTAGCAGAACCATCTTATTTAGCTATTAACATTAAGCACTGTTAAGCAGCCTTCACAGTCTCAATCATTGCTGAGAACTGATGGCCCGTGTACACAGGCAGGAGCATCTCCCAGGGGTTCCTGCCGTCCTGTGGCACAAGAGCTTCAGCAAGACCGAGAATGAACTCCAAGCTAACTGAAACGGAATGAACGTTAATGTTCCTGTACATGTTTCTGATGCTGGAAAAGTCTTACTCCACTCAACACACAATTGTTGACTACCCGCTGTGGTCAGGTACAGTGGGAGGTCCAGGAGATTCAGAGATAAACGACTCGGTCCCTGCCTGCCTAGAGAGCTGCCAGGCAGACTGCAGTGGCTGATGTAACCTGCATCCAGTGACAGCAGAGACCTTCCAGCGAAGTGGGATGGTCTATTGAGGGACGGCGGAAAGGGATCTGTCCAGGCTGTGGGCACTCAGAGGACGGCTGATTTTTGACAGCAAGAGGTCAGTCAGAAAATAAAACAGATGGGTGAGAAACCACATGTATAAGGGCTCTATCACGGAAGGGGGAGGAGGGGATGGGTCTGGCTGGAAGGCAAGGTGTGGGGGGAATGAGGCTGCAGAGGCCAGTGGGGCTAAATTTAGGAATCTGGGCTTTACCCTGAAGGCAATGTGGTGGGGACAAGGAAGATTTTAATGCAGAGGAGGAGTGACATCTGAAGGTTGCAAAGATGACTCTGCACCATGGAGGGGAGAGTGCTGGAAGCTGAGGCAGGAATTTAGGGAAGGAGGAATAAAAGTAGAGACCGGAAATGTGTTAGGTAACAGACGTAGAGACAGCTGAGGTACTGGGGCAGGACTTGGTGAACAGTTACACACAGAGAGGGCCGCGCCCAGCCAGGGCAGTGTTTCCTAAGGACACCTCCTTCAGAATCACCCACTGAAAGCGTGAAGGTCTTAAGAGGTGGGCTTGTGGCTGTTCTGTCCTCCTGGACAGGGCACACAGCAATCAGTCAACATATTTTGATGAATCAAAATATCTTGAGATGTTAGGTTAAAGTATAGATTGCTGGGCTCTGCCCCAGACCTAAAGGAATATATCAATGAAAAAAGCTGCTATGAATTAAAAAATGTTTTCAAATGAACTGATGCATAATTAAAACATGTATGTATGTTTTCAAGATGATTCTATGTATGTGCAAGGGCACAGGCACCACCCACGAATGTTCTGGGCAGAAGAAGCAAGAGCTGCAGAGAACTCCGGTCTAATGGGCACTAACCTCTCACTGAAACCAGAGGCTGGAGGATGACCGTAAAGAACAAGGAGGTGGTGGTGATGGGTTAAAGTAAGTGTGAGGGAGATGGAAGAACACCACTAGAGAGCAGAAAACCAGGATATGCTCTGCCATGAAAATCAAGCAAAGAAAGAGTTTCTAAGAGGAAGGAGTCTCAATAGGTGGTGTCGAAGGGCCGAGAGGAAAAAGTCACTTCTTTTGGGGTTACTTTCTCCAGCAGCTTTCAAAGAGGTGCAGGAATGGAGAAGGTGAATGACTGGATGGATCTAGGGATAAGTTTGCTAAGATTATATGTTTCCTGATGGTGTTGTCTTACTTTCTGTTTTGATACTTAGCTACTAATTGCATCTGAGAGCAGAAAGTCTAAAACCACCCGAAGGTATTGTGTTGGATGGGCTAAAAGGATACAGGAAGAGGCTGAGTTGGACTAACCAAGTCAAGAAGTTGGGAGGGGAGAAAATATTTAACCCAACTTGTTTGTCTATATATATAATAAGGAGGATCGTTATGGAATGGGGTCCTCATAAAATGACCAGAAAAATCAGTAAACAGTATTGAAAACTGAGCTTTAAAACTATTCTTTCTTATCCAATTTAGCAAATAACATGACCCTTTTTAAATTTATTTCTCAGTTTTACGGAGGTATACTTGATGTAGACACCTCATTTTTGATACACATGGAATGCATACAGCCCAATTTAATATGTGGAGGAGGGCTATTAGATAACTTCAGTTTCCAATTTTCTGGAATCCAATAATTCTTCAGCCAGAAGTTTAGAACACAGTCACCTAGGAGATGGTAGTGCTGCCCCCTAACCCACGGATCATCCATTCAATCCAGGTCTGTGCTGATTCTCGAGTCCATAGTCCTTGCCTCCTTCCACCCTGCCTTCATCATCATATATTGTACTGACTTCCCATAAAGTCAGGTGAGTGCTAGGAAGAGCTCTGAAGTTATTCCCCTCTAGCTGTATCCAGCTGGCCCTACTGTGACCCAGTTCTTCTGTCCCCACTGACCAGGGCTCAGTCCTAAACCAGGCAGACTTGGCTTCCTTGGTCTTCAGTGACTCCATGCCTGACCTCCACTGGACTGACAACCTAGGTTCGTTTACTCATTCAACAAATGCTTGCTAATCACCTCTTTGTGTGAGAGACTCTTCTAAGATACAGCAAAGGGGGAACCTCCCCCGAATATCCAAAACCTCCCGGAATCCTTGCTGTAATGGAACTTCTCTTCTGGTCAAACCTGAATTCTGCATTGACCTCTTTTTAATTTGTTCTCTGCCTTTTGACTGATCTTCCAGTCTTAGAATGGTTTTCTGTATACTCACCCATGAATAAAAATTTCCTACAAGTGTTCCTGTGTCTTGACCACCTGACCTTTCAAATCTGTCTAGACCTCCAAATCCTGGCTTCCCCTGGAAAGTTCTAACCTCGTATCTGTGTGTCATGGTTAATGAATATAATTAGGGCTGGAAGGGATTGTGTAATCTATTACCCTCATTTTAAATAGAAGAAAGAAATGCTGAGAGAGCACAAGTGCCATCTCCCAGGTCACATGGTGAGTTAGGGGCCGAGCTCACGCTGGGCCTGAAGTCTTCCAGTGCCAGATTCCAAAATCCAGGGTCAGTTCAGTAAGGGTCACTTCAACAAGTGGCACTGACTCCTTCTGATTCCACATCTCAGTTATTAATATCTCTTGGGACTTTTCACAAATGAGTGTCATTGGCTCATATGTATTATTTTTATGATGCTTTAAAACATAGACAAACTCACTAATTTGCAAGTTAGTGTTTGATATTTTAAAAGTTAACACTTGACAAGTTTAAATTTTAGCTCCACAGGTACCCCATGCCTACGTCCTTCCCTGTTATTTGTCAAGCATTCGGTTTCACAAGTGAGTTTCATACATGTGTTGGAGTCCAACCCATTTGGCGTTAAGCGTTCCTCTTTTACCATAGCCTCTGCTTTCCCTCATATCCTATGCTAAAGATTAGTCTTCAAAAAATACATTCACATTCCAAATAACAGATTCTCACGAACTCTGAATAGACAAAAAAGGCAATTTACATTGTCAAAAAATTTGCTAGTTCAAAATGCCGTGGGCCAATCCAAAGATCTCTTCTAGGCACTAAACAAGGAGATGAAAGAAAACTTCCCTCATTACCAAGTCAGTCTCTGATTTTCCTTCTAGTATGCATCTTTATCTTTCTTGACCTTAGCCTGGATGTTCAGAGCAAAGTGTCAGCCCTGCCTCGCCATTAAAAAGCTCTTCCGTTGCCCTGGGTCGGGTAGCAGTCAGCACAGCAGGCATCTAATCCAGCGGGGATGGAAGAGCTGAATGCCTCTTCTGCGTTTCACTAGGTTCGACTTACAGCCTTGAACTGAGCAGGTTCTGTAAAAGTCAGCCTCATTCATTGTCTGGGCTTGCGCTGTCTGCGGTAGCTCATAAACCGGCTTTTCAGCTTATCTGAAATCAATGTTTTTCATATTTATATTCCCTTCCCTAGGGCACTGATGTGGTGCTTTCTATCAGAAGGCACTTAATGCTTGTTTGTAAAATAAAATGAAAACCACTGAGGAGTTGTGTGAAGACTGGAGAATTCAAGGGAAGCCGACTCGGGAGGAATACTCTCCCCTTGGCGCACACTGTCTCTCACCTCCCTGGTGCCTCTGTGGCTCAGCTGAAAACAGGAGAGCAAGGAGAATACTCAGGGGACCGAAGGCAGTGGGGTACATCCATCTCGAGAGTGTGTGCCTAGACACTGAAATTCAAGAAGGGGCCCAACTTCCAGGGTTCAAATCCTGGCTCTAATCACTTGCTAGTTATATGGCTTTGGGCAAGTTACCTAACCTCCCAGTTGTATCATCCTTCTGCACGGCGGACGTGATAAAGTAGTACCCACCTCACTGGATTGCTCTGGACCACCTGCCTCCTCACTGTCTCTCTCCCTGAAACCTGCTTCCCAGACACCTGAATGCTTAGCGCCCTCATTTCATTCAGACCTCTATGAAAACTTCACCTTCTCAGTTAGGACCTCTTGGCCCTCACTGATAACTTAGCTTCTTTCTAATACATAATACTTAAAACCACCCCACATGTTATATATGTTTGATTATATAGTATCCTCACCCCTCACAGTAGGACCTCCCTTATAGAAGGGACTTTGTTTAGTTCTCTGATGTGCCTTCTGCAGCCGGAATGCAGCCTGGTACACAGTGCTTAATAGCCCTTGAATGAACAAAGTGGAAAGCTAGATGAGTTAATTTCTATTAAATGCTTTGGTATAAATATTCAATACAGGTCAGTCATTGTGTTAGCTATTGCCGCTCTTCAGCACATGTGGGGATTCTGGCCTGATGCCCAGTGTGGAGACTCACTCATCCAGAGTTGCTTAGCCTAGCGGTGGTGGTCCTCTTACTTTAGGAAGAAACGCCTTGATCATCAGGTACATGCTGCGGACGTTGAGATTCATTGAGAAGTCCCAATCCTTCTCCTCACAGTCCAGGATGGTCCCGTGATGGACAAAGCTGGAAGAGGGATTAAACAATGGGGGGAAAATGTTGATTTAAAAATTTTCTATTCACTTTCCTGATCACTTCTATTGGCATTTACTGGCTTAGATACCGTCCCTGCCCTTACCAAGACCGTTAACAATCCAAACACAGCGTCACCTAGTACGTCAGGTGAGTAAGTGCCCCAACAACATACGCTAAGTAAACTGATTTGAAGACAACATCCTTCTTTTACAAGAAAACAAGAGTCTGGAGACACCAAATGTAAGAAATGCTACGCCAACAGCACAGGAAACACCAATGCCACTAAAAACAGACAAGTGAGAAGAGTATGCTGGCCCTGACTCCTATTCCAAGAGCAGCAGTGCCCTCAGGTGGTGGCACAGATTTAACATTCTCCAGGGAAATGAACGCTGCAAGGAAAACAAGTGTCAGCATCTCAGGGTAGCAAGGCAATACCCCCCGTGCAGCTCTGACACACCGAGTAAACAACGCAGAGCGAAACAAAACCTTTAAAATAATCTTCACTCTTTTTTCAAGTCCTGCTTTCTACACACTGAACACCTAATTGATTTCACTGTCCCTAGGCCACGATTATGTAATTGACTATAAAATATCGTTGCTTGTGATTTCCATGCACCACTGTATTCCAGTCCAACCAGATCACAGCAAGAACCACACATTCTATTTTGTATCTCTTATGTTGCTGAAAATTTCATAGATGCTCAAAAACTAATTTCGCTAGTTGATTTTTTTCATGGCTCTGAGTATATTTTCATATGAGGGATGAGCAGGTTATTTATAAAACAGATCATCGTGAAATGTTGCTTTAATTTTATTTCCATACATTGTAACATATGATAAACTAAAGACAGAATGAGATTTTTTTCACTCTGAAACATAATTGGGAAGAACCACAGAAATATATTAGAAGGCTCTAGGATTTTTCTACCAATGCAGCAGTTCAGACGTAACACTACATAAGAAAAGTGGGACACGGGAGGGTGTCTACTGAGCCCTGTGTGAGCCTCAACGGTGCTCACGTCTACTGTCACGCCTGAGGAGGGAGGGTGCGCTCCAGCACCGGCTGTATCTGCCTGCAGCTGCTCCAGTTCCAGCCTTCATCACTCATGTGTGGTTCGGCAGGCTTAGTACCACCCTAGTAAGTTCAGTGAAGCCATTCTCTTTGTGCCACGTATAAAGGTACAACATGAAACTTCTTTTTCTGGGATTGACTGTCCCAATAAGAAACACTGAGCTTGGAAAGTATAAAGGACTTGCTAGAATGTTGTGCCAAAAATTGGGAACGTTTGCATCTCAATATACTTCGTTTTAAAGACATTACTGGAAAACAGGTTTTCTTATTTTTTGTAAGTCCTGGTGGAGCATTAGCAACAAGCCTATGGGCGTGAGCCTGTTACCAGCCCTGAGAAGAGCAATAGCTTTGTGCTAGTACCGGCTGCCTCGAGTGGCTTCATCCGCCTTGAGGCCCCACGTCCACACCAACATCCATGGCTGTCTCACTTGCTGAACCTTACTTGTAATCAAAATTCTGTCCAAAATCTCACCAAGTTTCCTAAGGAATGTATTATGGTTCATGTGAATAATTTTGCCATATTAGTAACATTTTTTTAATAAAAGTTACAGAAAACTTTCTGTAAGGAGAGTGAAATGTAAGTTGTGAATTACCCAGCAACATTAAAGAGAACGTCAAGTCTCTCAACGTCATTGGCGAACTGATCAATTTGTTTCTTCTTTGTGACATCAAGAACCCGGGTTTGAATACCTGAAAAATAAAACAAAGGACACTCAGTGCCTACATCCAGAAAGAATGCTCATTAAAGATTTAGTTGTTTCGAAGTGTGAAGATAGAGCTGTTTGGAAGTGTGAAGATGGCAGTATCCTGTCCAGTGAGACTTTGTAGGATTGCTGACCATTAGCAGGGTCTTCAGAATCTTAAGACTCTCAGTAAAAATCTAGAAAATTTACTAGCAAATTTAAAACTATGCATCTGGCTCACAGAATGTTTCTCGTGGACAGCCCTCAGAGGAGGGGGGCACAGAAATGAAAAATTTTCATCAAAAATTAGCACAATGGTGCTAAATGTTCACCTATGATTTTGTATTTGGCAACTGAATCCTTCAACGTGGAAAAATAAAAAAAAGTGGATAAATAAAAAATTTTAAGTATACATCTTCAAAACTTTGTTTATACATTTAAGTATACAGATTTTTGTCTCTAGGTTCATGGAATATAAATCTGATATCAGAGAATCAGGCTCCAAAAAGAAGCCCAGTGGAGCTGAACTGCTAAGGACTTTTCTTTCACCACGTAAGTACTGACGCTTTACAGTTCCTTGTAGACTCTGAATCCCAAGTTCAAGGTGCTGAGTTGCTTACCCGGGTATTTTTCCAGCTCCTGAAGTTTGGACTCATTGATATCTGTGGCTATGACTTTGGCACCTTCTCTTGCAAAAGCCTGATAGACACAAAGCACAAATAAATCCTTTGTTTACCTGGTTAAACTGCTCTCTTGAACCGAGAGTCATTTAGCCTTTTGCCCTTATCTTACCCTCATTGTTGCTTTCCCTGTAAAACAGGTGGAATTTCAAACCAGCTAGTCTCACCTCATCCTTCCCATTGTTACTATTTTTATCATTAATTAGAATGTGACATACATTGTGCTTGTCATCTGACTTTGTTCCTTTAAGTAACAGCAAATAAATCAACGCTTAAAAAAAAAACAGGATTCTGTTATTAAACACCTCTCAAAATACTACTATTCTGTGATTTGACAGCCTGCATTCTATTTCTGAGCAGGTGACTCAATTCCAAACAGTAAGAAAAAATGGGTTATTTCAACACTTTCCTGCTAATGAAAGTAATTAGCTTGGGTAGGGGGTTTAATGTGCGAGAAGTTTATATAAATTAGAAGGTAAATGTAACTGGAGAGACTCCTAACTCCAGAGTTCTGTATCAGGACTGACTTAATTTCACAAGGCTCTGCACTCCTGTAGGGCCCCTGTAGTAAATTTATTATGATGCAGAGAACAAAGAGGTAACATTTCTCAGAGCCAAAGGTTATCAGTGATGTCATATAATGAGCATGTGAGGTATTCATTCTTCCATCTGCCTGGGGGCAGGAGTCTCCACTTTTCCTTTTATAGCTTCAGACAACAGGAGCACAAAAGATAATAAAAAAAAAAAGAGTGGAATTAAATAACCCTGGAATCTGTCCACGTAATTCAATACCTCAAAAGTCAGTAAGCAAACAACAAGAGGTAATAACTTACTAAGGCAGCTGCCTGGCCGATCCCCTGAGCAGCCGCTGTCAGAACGATGACCTTCCCATCAAGTCGCCCCATAACAGAACCTGTGGTTTAATCTAAAGACACGCGTATTTAATGGTTTACACTGTGCAGTGAGCTCTGGAAGGTACAGTTCAAGCACCTCTTTCAAAACAACCTGTTGGACTGCATGCCTACTGTTTAGAACTTATCTCAGTGGATCAGGAACATCTATGGCCATTCTGATGGCCTCGACCGCCTTTAAGAGACCCATCTTGCTCGTATCAAAATGGTCCTTTTTGGTCCTTTGCCCTGGACCTGTGATATTCTAGACCAGCTCTGTTCTCAGCTGTGGCTGAATGTAATATGTGTACAATAAATCATCTCTTCTGCTGTTTTAGCTGAAAAGAAAAAAAAAAAAAGGACCTGAAGACAGCAGCTCCGTACAAATATTCCCACCACCTGAGAATATTTACATCATTCTCCAAGAATGCTTACTCTCAATACCTAGCTTTGCATATCCAAAACATTCAGCAAAACCCACTGAAGGGATAACTGGCGCAGACAGACAGTCATCTCCAGGTTTTTACCAGAAAGAACCCAGAGAAGACAGCTACAGTAGGGGTGGCGTCCCCCTCTGTGCACACTGCTGTGACAATGGCTATGTCTTTCTACTTGTGGCTGCTTCTTGCTTCCTCTCTCATGAACCTTTGTTGTAGGGTTTGCACTGTCAATTGTCTCTGGTTTTTCCGTGTCCATTGGGAAGATTTCATAGTTAGCTTCAGAGAGTCATTGGGAAAGAGTTGGAAAATCAGATCATGTCCAATACCCTCATTTTACAGATGAGGGAACTGATCTGGCCAGAGAACAGGTCAAGGCAGAGCCAGAACTCAACTCAGGCCTCCTGCTCTTTTGCGTGTGAACATTCTACCCCACAACCCTGCCAATCCTCTTTTAAGGTTTAAGCGTTTAGTAGTAACATTGTAACACACAAAATCAGTAATTTTTAAAAGAGAAGACTGAGAAATTCTGACATAGGGAAAACACAACATGCAGGAGACATGCAGGCCAGTGCTCGGATTGGAGATCGCAGGGTGAGAAGAGATCGCAGGGTGAGAAGAGATCGCAGGGTGATGATTTTGGGGGCAGTGGAGTCAAATGATGATCAAATGAGGCTGTCTTCAAGGAATCCAGTCCCTTCTCTGACCCTGCCGTTCCTAGTGTGTGCCTCTGACGGCACACCAAGGCACAACAGGGCAGTCACGTCCCATGGTGTCTGCACTCCAGGCAAAAAGAGGGAAAGGTGAAAAGCCAAGTCTGTCAGAGAGACCTCGCCTTTGTATTCAAGAAGGACACCCTCCTCAGAAACTCCAGCCTGTTTTATTGGCCAGCTCTAGCAGCAGAGGCCGAGTTTGAGTTTTGTCTTCCAGTCTTTATAAAGTGAAAAGGAGGGAGAGGGGGAGAGTTAGGTTGGGTGGATGTTGGGTGAGCTAACTTAAATAGCACATGCACCAAACAACCTGCACAACCAATCTGCTCAGTTACCTGCCTGATAAAGTACGGGTGGCTGGCTAGTCTTGCCTGGGGGCCCCACATCCAGTCATTCCTCTCTGAGCTTATCTCCGTGCCCTTCAGCCAAATTTGGCTTTTTTCTGTACCCAGTGTGCGCTTTGGTTTCAAGCCTCCACCCTTGTCCAAGCTGAGGGGCAAGTTACTCCTATGGGCAAGGAGCACTTAAAGGATTTATGGAAAGGGCGCGACATGATCAGATGCATAATTCAGAAAGCTCACTGTGGCGAGCAGACCTGGGAGGGAGTGAGCCGGCGCGAGCGCAGGGTTTCCTGCGGAGGCTGCCACAGTGGTGCAGAATCAGCGGGGAAAGCGGGATGGAGAGCTGGCGTGGACGAGAGGAGTGTTTAGCAGATGACTCTGGGCCTAGTCCCCAGCGCACTAACTCAGACGTTACGTGGTTTGCCCAGCGTTTCACGGCTATGAATTCAAACCGAGGCCTCCTGACTGCAGGTCCCAGAGAAGACCTCGTGGTTCGTGGCGTTCCTCCCGTGGTCCTCGCACACCCTGCGGACCTCTGCAAGTCCGCACGCGGCGCCAGGGCCCTGCGGAACTGGGGCTGCGGCGCAGGGACCCGGTAACTCACCACGAGGCCGGCACTGCGCACCGAAACTCCGCTGTTTGTG